GGGGTCTAGTGGTTAGAGCGGGGGGGCTGGGAGCCAGGACTCCTGGGCGCTCTCCCAGCTCTGGGAGGGCAGTGGGGTCTAGTGGTTAGAGCAGGGGGCTGGGAGCCAGCACTCCTGGGTTCTCTCCCGGTTCCGGGAGGGCCTTGGGGCCTCACCCGCCCGCCCCGTGTCTGTGCCACAGGAAGCGCCTCTCGGCCTCGGAGTACACCTACCCAGAGAGTGAGTCGAGCCCCCCGCTGGGCGCCCGGCGCCGCTTCTCGGCGCTCATGGACACCAGCCGCTTCACCGCGCCGCTGGAGGACGACGACGAACCCCGGGCCAGGGGCCCCGCCAGGGAGAACGGGGGCCCCGCAGCTGCCCCCCAGGCCGAGGGAAAGGAAGGGAGCGCGGGGACAGCCGGGGACCCCGCTGCCCCCAAGGATGCCGAGGCTGGTGGGTAGGACCCGGGGCTCCCGGCAAGAAGGGAGGGGAACCAGGCAAAGTGTTAAATGTGGCACCTCCTCCCCCCGCCCCCGGGAACTTCCCCTCCCCCATGGTAATTGCCCCCTGCTCATTGGCCCCACTAGGCAGAGCATGGGGAGGTGCATTCCTGGTAACAGGCTGGAAAGCTTTGGGGGGGGGCAGTGTATTGTGGGTACCAGCCCTACGTAACTGGATGGGGGGGGCAGAGAGAGGTGCATTGTGGGAAAGGGCCCTGAAATCTCTGCTGAGGGAGCAGTGAATGCTGGGTAATGGTGCCACCATTGTGTGGGGTGGAGAGGTGAAGGGGTGCCAGGGAGGAGGCTGAGACCCTCACGTGCCCCCCTCACCCCGTTGCTCTGTCTCTCCCCCCAGGCGATAGAGTGAAGGGGGGCGATGCCCAGCCCCCGAAGGACACGGACCCCCAGACCCCCAAAGCCACCAGCGACCTGGTGCTGCGGCGCGCCCGGCACCAGCAGCTGTCCGGGGAGTCGGCGGGCGAGAGGCGCAGCGCCCGGGTGGGGGGCAAGGTCATCAAGTCTGCCTCGGCCACCGCCCTGTCCGTCATGATCCCCACAGGTACCCCCCTGAACTCCCCCCCACCTGTCCGTCATGATCCCCACAGGTACCCCTGTGCCCCTCGCCTGTCCGTCATGATCCCCACAGGTACCCCCCTGAACTCCCCCCCGCCTGTCCGTCATGATCCCCACAGGTACCCCTATGCCCCTCGCCTGTCCGTCATGATCCCCACAGGTACCCCCCTGTCTGTCCGTCACAATCCCCACAGGTACCCCCCGGACACCCCCGCCTGTCCATCATGATCCCCACAGGTACCCCCCCGCCCCCTGCCTGTCCGTCATGGTCCCCACAGGTAACCCCCCGCCTGTCCATCACGATCTCCACAGGTACGCCCCTGGACGCCCCCTCCTGTCTGTCACAATCCCCACAGGTACCCCCCCGCCTGTCCGTCATGATCCCCACAGGTACCCCCCTACTGATACCTCCTAACCCCACCGAGCTGCCTGTCATGATCCCCACAGGTACTGCGCCCTGGACAGCAGGACTCCTGGGTTCTATCCCCGGCTCTGGGAGGGGAGTGGGGTCTATTGGTTAGAGCAGGGAGGCTGGGGCTCAGGACTCCTGGGTTCTCCCAGCAGGGCCCTGGGGGGGCCGTGCTGGTCTCACACGCCCCTGTCTCTCTGCAGTGGAGCAGCACACCAGCTCCCCCCTGGCCAGTCCCATGTCACCCCGCTCCCTCTCCTCGAACCCGTCCTCGCGGGACTCCTCCCCGAGCCGCGACTACTCGCCTGCTGTCACCGTCCTGCGCTCGCCCATCACCATCCAGCGCTCCGGCAAGAAGTACGGCTTCACACTGCGCGCCATCCGCGTCTACATGGGCGACAGCGACGTCTACAGCGTCCACCACATCGTCTGGGTACGGCCCAGCCGGGCAAGGGGCTTTGTGTCCCATGGGGAGCAGTGTGGGCCGGGCGAGGGGCTTCGTGCCCCATGGGGGGGCAATGCAGACTGGGCATTGGGGGGGCCTTGTGCCCTCTGGTGGCAGTGCATGCTGGGAAATCCTTGGGGCAGTGCATGGTGGGAAAGAGATCTTGCACCCCACAGGGGAGCAGGATATACTGGCAGAGGGTCTTGTGCCCACTTGGGGGCAGGGCATGCTGGGTAAGGGACCTCACACCTTCCTGAGGGTGCGGTGCATGCTGGGAAAGGCTGGGGGCAGTGCATTCTGGGTACCGCCCTCACACCATCATTGGGAGGGGGAGGTGCTGCGCCTTTGGTTGGGGCGTTGCATTGTGGGTAAGCAGCATGGGCCAGCCCTGACACCTGCCTCCTGTCCGGCAGCACGTGGAGGAGGGGGGCCCAGCCCACGAGGCGGGTCTCTGCGCCGGGGACCTCATCACCCACGTCAACGGGGAGCCCGTGCACGGGCTGGTGCACACGGAGGTGGTAGAGCTCATTCTGAAGGTAAGTGTCAGGGAGCGGTGCATGCTGGGAAAGCGGTCTGGGGAGCAGTGCATGTTGGGAGAAGTGCCTGGGGAGCGGTGCATGCTGGGAAAGGGGTCTGGGGAGCAATGGATGTTGGGAGAAAGGCCTGGGGAGCGGTGCATGCTGGGAGAAGGGCCTGGGGAGTGGTGCATGCTGGGAAAGGGGCCTCGCACCTCACCAGGGAGCAGTGCATGTTGGGAAAGGGGCCTTGCGCCCCATTGGGGAGTGGTGCATGTTGGCAGAAGGGGTCTGGGGAGCAGTGCATGCTGGGAAAGGGGCCTCGCACCTCACCAGGGAGCAGTGCATGCTGGGAGAGGGGCCTCGCACCTCACCAGGGAGCAGTGCATGCTGGGAGAGGGGCCTGATGCCAAGCCCCTGCCCCACCGTGGGGCATGGAGCCCAGCTGTGTCCCCAGGTGCCGCCCACAGGGCCCGGCCGGAGGCAGGCCTTGGCTAATGGGGATGGAGGGGTGTTTCCTGCCCCCTCCCCACGTGGCCTGTCTCTCATGGCAGAGCGGGAACAAGGTGATGGTGACCACGACGCCCTTCGAGAACACATCCATCCGCGTCGGGCCGGCCCGCAAGAGCAGCTACAAATCCAAGATGGCGCGGAGGAACAAGAGGAGCATCAGCAAGGAGGGGCAGGAAAGGTGCGGGGAAGAGGGGGAAGGGAATGGGGGCGTGAGGTGGGGCAGGAGGGGGAGGGGGCAGGAGGAGGTGCAGGGTGGGGGGAAAGGAGGGGGTGCTGGGCTGGGGTTGACATGAGGGGTGCCGGGGCGGGGAACAGGAAGGGGTGCTGGGGCCGGGGGAAGGAGGTGGGGGCCGGGGAGGGGGATGAGGGGTGCTGGGGCGGGGGCAGGAGGGGGTGCCGGGGCAGGGGGGACAGGAGGGGGTGCTGGGGCGTTGGGGGAGGGATGGGGTGAAGGGCAGGAAGGGGTGCCTGGGCAGGGGGGACAGGAAGGGGTACTGGGGTGGGGGAAACATGAGGGGGATTCCCCCCCCAGCACTGACCCTCCCCCCCGCAGCAAGAAGCGCAGCTCGCTCTTCCGGAAGATCACCAAACAAGCCAACCTGCTCCACACCAGCCGCAGCCTCTCCTCGCTCAGCCGCTCGCTCTCCTCCAGCGACAGCCTACCTGGCTCGCCCACCCACAGCCTGAGCGCCCGCTCGCCCACCCAGAGCCTGCGCACCACCCCCGACTCTGCCTACCTCGGTACCGGGTGCGGGGCACTGGGGGGTAGATGGTGTGGGGGCAGGGGGCACCACTGGGGTGGGCTGGGGGTGGGGCACTATGGGGTGAGCAGGGAGCATGGCTGAGGGGGCACAGCAGGTGGGGGCTGGAGGCATGGCGGGAGGACACGGGCAAGGGATCACCAGGAGGGAGTGGGGGGGGACAGGGACATGGGGGGGTCTCTGTTACCTCCTCATCCCTGCCCCCCGTGCCAAAAGGGGGTGCAGGTGAGTTGGCAGGCTTCAGAGCCACCTTCCTGCGTCTATGAGTCAGGTTGTGCCTCACTGCCGCTGGACTTAGGGGTGGCAGAACCTCTGGGATGTCCTTGGGCTGCAGGGGCTGCTCCCTCCACCAGGTGGCGCCCCAGCCCCGCTCAAGCCCCTCCACACCCTGGGTCTGTCAAGGGGCATCTCCCCTGCCCAGGCACTGTGCCCCCACGTCAGCCGGTGCCCGTGGGCAGGGGGCAGAAGGGCGAGGGGGATCCAGGCCCAAAGCACCAGCGACCAGAGATATGGGGTGAGCTGAGTGCTCCAAGAGAACTGGGGAGGCCGCCCCATCCCACTCATCTGTCCAACCATCCATTGGGTGGGCCGCCCCATCCCACTCGTCTCTTCATCCATCCATCGGGGGGGCTGCCCCATCCCACTCGTCTGTCCGTCCATCCATCCATCCATCGGGGGGTGGGCAGCCCCATCTCACTCATCTGTCTGTCCATCCATCCATCGGGGGGGCAGCCCCATCCCACTCATCTGTCCATCCATCCATCCATTGGGGGGGCCGCCCCACCCCACGCGTCTGTCCATCCATCCATCGGGGGGAAGCCCCACCCCACGCGTCTGTCCATCCATCCATCGGGGGGGGAAGCCCCACCCCACTCGTCTGTCCATCCAGCAATGAGGGGGGCAGGGAGAACTCTCTCCACTTCTGCTGATCCAGAGCAGGCTGAAACACAGCCTGTATGCCATGGGG